AAAAAGGGCAGTAAGATTAAGAATTAATTTATGGTAAACATAGGCAAAATACTGTAGGGTGGGGGGCATGACTCCAAGAGATAGTGAATCCTATCTTATAGGCAAATCAAATAAAGGCGAATCAAAGAAACATTTCTCTAGCTTAATCTAAATCACAAAAGTGACCTAACCATAAATTTTGAGAGAATTGGCAAAACTGAGCTATGTAAGGATCCTTTGAATAAATCAGCAACTCATCTAAATAGACAGTCAAAATCTTGTCCAAAAATCATGTAAAATATTATTCATGAATCTTTGAAAGACCAAGAGATTGAACACCAACTTAAACAACATTACCATATATTCAGAATTCCCATAGAGTCAAAAGCAATTAATTATTAATATTCCTCGTTCATAAAAAATAGACTATAGAGCGCTCTGAGATCCAATTTTGTAAAAATGCATGCCACAACCATTCTAAGAGTTAAGAAATGAAAGGATGAGTGTAGTGACATCTAAGGATGGAGATAGGAAATCACCATCTTGACAAAAATGTTAGGAGTACAGGCTGGAAATGAGGAAAGGAAAGTAACTTGTAAATTTTGTGATAAATTGCTTTAAGCTGCTAACTCTGTATTACCAATCAGTAAGTAGTATTTTTTTTTATTCTTGATCCCAAGAATAAAATTGAATAATCACTGAACAAAAATGAAAAGTCTGTGAAGTTATTGGTGCTCTTTGAACTTGATTGTTTCCTGGTAGATGATTCATTACCAAACTAGGTAACATCATCAGTGGTAGTAGGGAGTGGGGTTTGCTCTCATTTTTTATACTAGTAGCTTGCCCTGTCAATGTTAGTGGGAATGTTCTTGGTGATTCCTTGATTGGGAAATTGTTTGCTTTTAGCATGTAAGTCTGAGCTGATATACTTTCTTTTATGGAGTATTGTTTGCTTCTTGATTGTCCGTTTAAAATTAATCTTGAGGTTAATCCCTGCTTATCTGGGTGTTGATTGCTGGTGAGAAGGTATTTGGTCTTTTTGTTTCCTTTTTAGCTTTTTGATTGTCTCTTTTGAATGGTATGTTTATCTCTATGTGCCTGTTGATGGCCAATTTGTGTGAGTGCCAGGCTTCCAGGAATTCTCTAGTGCTTTTGGACTTGACTTGGTTTAGGATGCCCACAGTTTCCCAGTTGAAACTAATATTAATTATATCCATGTATTGTGATATTAAGGAGTTTTCATCATGTATTCTATTGATGTTCATGGATGGGTTCTGCTAGTCTTCTGGCTGTTTGCCCTACAGTACATAGTGCCATTGCAATTCCTACACTATACGCTTTCTTCTTCTTCTGAGGCTGCTGGGTCTTTTGGTTTACTTAGGATGTTATGCAGGAATTTAATTGGTTTGGCTGCTATGGTGATGCCATGTGATTGTAATCTGTTGGTGATTCCTGAGATGTTTTTGATGTATGGCAGTGAAGAATCCTCTTCAGAGCTTCTGCTGGCTGTGCTATATTGGATTGAGTGGTCAGGCGCTTTTTGATCAAGTTGCAATGATATATCCATTTTGTTGAAAGATGTTGTATATATGATGTGTTTCCTTTTTCTGATATTCAGGGTTAGAGAAAGTGTGTGGAGATAGAGGGAATGAAGGAGAATAATGATGTCTACCCTTCCCATTAACATATTCTCATATTCTGCTTCAATTCCTTTACTTTTCTGTTCATGTTCAAGCAGACCTGGATTAATGCTGTCAAAGTTAATCAGGCGCCTTGATAAATGACTGTGTCCTCTATTTCATCTGGTAGTCAGTTCAGCCTCTTTCATTCTGAGCTAATAGCCATCTCATCAATATATTTCCTCTCTAAATGCTTCACCTGTCATAGGCAATGGTTTTCACAGTCTCAAGTCATTTGCTTGACAAGGTCTTTAAAGTTAGTTCTCAGGTGTACCATGAAATGTTCCGGTTGCACCAGCTAGATCTGAGCTGTACTGGGTTGTTCATTTTACACATCCTTCAGTCATTAGGCTAATTATAAATCCCATGATGGTTCACTTGATAAGGAAGTAATTTGATCTTAGGAAGATGTATAATTCATATTGAGTGAGGAAGGCAGTAAATTTGGTCAGATTCCCATACTGATGAAGAAAGGAAATACTTTGTATGGGGGGGGGACTGCAACTGTTGCACTTGCTTCCACAATGACTGCAGAATTTTTGGCAGACTGGTAATGAGGTGGGGTTATTGATTGTGATTGAATCTCTTCATATGTTGGGCTATCTATGCAAGGCCTCCCAGGTACAATGATTAGACGTTTCCTGTTCCATATTCCCAAGTAGACTCAAAAAAGTTAGGTAAATTGATTTACCTAAATGCAGAGAATTAGGAAGCCTAAAAGTTCTCACTTCACAATGTCTAGGAATCCTTCCCTTTAGTTCCAAAATATGAATCCTCTTTCTTCTGCCTATTTGAATCCATGGCTACATGGATACTTATTTCCCAACCTTGAAGATTTCTGCCATTTGCTCCTTGTTTACAAAATATTTTTTTACTAGAATGAGAATCAGAAAATCCTGCCCTTGAGCTCAACCTCTAGATTGTTTCAGTCCATATGTGTCATTGATTGGTTTTGGAACTAGAGCAAGAGACTAGCACCTTTGTTGATAGTAGAATCCCTAGATGGTCAACATTCATGATCCCTAGGCATCTGATCACCTGCTATAGTAAAGACTATAGCAAAGTCTGTCAAGCTATCAGGCCTCATACGAGAGTTCAAAAATCAAAGGTCTCTAACTCAAACCTTCTTTGGCAGGAGATGCACTTCCAGGTAGATTACTATCTTTATTTACCAATAATAATGAACCCTCAACAATGAATCGTTGGCCATTTCATTCTAAAAAAAAAAGTAACTGTGTTTGGGATCCAAAGTTTAAAATGTATAATTCTTCAAATTTTCTACTTGTATCAATGGATACAAGGCAGCCTGCATAGGTAGTTGATTCATAATAGCATAATAACTTCTCTAGGCTGGGAATCACAGATTCTCACCTTACCAGTTTTCATTCTTAGATCATGTTCTCTCTTTCCTTTTCTGTGAAACTGGGACTGCACATCTCCCAGGCCTCTGAGGGTCTCCAAACCAGCGAAGGAGCAAATGTGAAATAACAATCCAAACTAAACATGGAGAAGACACGACTTTTACTGTTGCTGGGGGTTTGACTTTAGGAGTTGACAGACAAGATTCCAATGTTCGCTTTAAGTATTATGTTATTATTTAAATAGCTATGATTTCTGACTCCCAAGGCAGTTCAAGATAAAAAAATGCATTAAAAACAATGTAACAGAAAAAATATAACAAATGGATGAAGATGGGAAATTTGACAAAAACAAAGCCAAACACAAACACAAAGGAATAAAGTCACACATTTTCAGCAGGGGGGAGGTTTTCCTAACCCATCACTAATGTTGAACAGTCACATAGAGCCACAGAAGCTAGAATTGTCTTTTCTGAATTTCATAAACATGGGACATCTCCACCTGGGGACAAAGGAGCTGTCTTTTGTGCTAAAACCTGAGAATTGTATTATTGTAATATGCTTTTCTTGGAACAGCATTTGAAACTATTGTGCAAATTGGAAAGAGCAGCACAAGAATAGGCAATGTTTCTTGAAAATCCTATATTTGTCCCTGTTAAAGCAGTTTCACTAACTGTTTATTGTCTTCAATGCAGTATACATACAATTATATATAAAGACTTATATAGCTTAGGCCTACAGTATTTAGAGGAATTCCACTTCCACATAGTCCTTCTGTACAAGTATGGTACCTTTTGCAAATCCTGCCAATAGCTAATTTCATTTTTCTGGGTTGGATCCCATATTATGGAAGAAATGGTGACTGAAGTCAAAGCAAATTCCTTTCTTGTTATGGTACAACAGGACTAAAACATAGTTTTCCACCAGGCCTTACAATATTTCATGGTTACATTTGTGGTATTGTATTTCTTCTTCATTTTGCAGTATATATGTTTTCAAAATAAAATTATAAAAGGGAAATTGGTGTTTTCAGAAGTAATTATCATCAGAATATTTAGTACCTTTAAGTTCATCAGTAAAGTTCAGCACTACTGACATTATTATATAAATAATGCCAGATTGTTAAGATTCATGAATATGGTTTTGATCAAGTCATGCTTATCACACCTTAGCTGTATTCTCCAATTTAGTTTTGACCCAGAAAAAAAACTATTCCTGCTATTTCTACTGCATACATGTTTATTTCTAAACACTATGGATAGTGTGTGTGTGTGTGAGTGAGTGAGTGAGTGAGAGAGGGAGGGAGGGAGGGAAGGAGGGAGGGAGGGAGATATGTGTGGCTGTGGCTGTGTGTAATAGAACAATAAAATGTAATACAACACATACATATAGCCTTGATGCCTAAAGTTACATAACCCAGGAAAGATTTACTGCTAAGGCATGAATTGGCCTTCTAATTGGGTATCCAGAAAAAACAATTGAATATATCTACAATTATGTGTGCTGCCAGAATTGTGAAGCATGAATCTGGAACAAACTACAAAATTCACTGAAGCTGTTCTGCCATCTGTATGCATCCGGACTTGTCATCTGCCCATTGAATTGCTAAACTACATCATATGGCAGAATTGAAAAGATCTGGGCAATCCCAGATGTAGCTATGTGTCTTAATTAAAAGATCCACTATTCTTCTTTAATGGTGTCTTCTTATCCCCCCCTCTTTTTTTTACAGTCCTGCTCCTCAGATTTAATTTATGTGATAAAATGTAAATATTAAATTATGAAAAATTACCTCAGCCTGAGAAACTTTTGCTTATGTGCTGAAGTTAGAATCTGCATAAACTTTCTAATTTAGTATCCCTTGATCTTCAGAGACTTGCCCTATTGTTTGTATGTGTGATTGGATACTCAGTTCCTGTTTCTAAGTCATTTTAGCCCAACATGCCAGTTAATGTCCATATCTCCTTTATTTCTATGTTAAAAGCTGTTCCTGCCCTACTGGATTTGAAGGGAAGAAATGTGAACTGAATCCAGATGACTGTGAAGATAACGATTGTGAGAACAACTCAACATGTATGGATGGGATAAACAATTACGCTTGCCTTTGCCTACCCAACTATACAGGTCAGCTATACATATCATTTTGAGAGATTTTAGGAAAAAAACATCTCCAGATGTCACATAGAGTCTCATGTATCTTAACGGATCTTTTTTCATGCTAGGAGAACTTGCTTGACTACTACTTGGGGGAGGGGGGACAGACTTTATAAGAATGCCACAATCTGAACTGCTTGCATCTTCCCTCATGAGAGGGAGCAAAACACATGGGGAATCATTATATTAATTCATATAGTTTTAATTATGCTTCAGTTACAGCAATTTCAGTTTTGGAATGTGGTTCCCCACTTAAACAGGTGCAGCAAATAATGTCAAAAGTGCATCAGAAAAGGAAGAGAGTAAGGAATATTTTCCACCAGGGTAACTGAGGAAAAATTGGACTGGATATCAATGTAGCATAGAAAAGAAATGATTCTTACCCTAGCAAAAAAAAAAAAAGAAGAAGAAGAAGAAGAAGAAGTTGGAGGTTAGGCTTTTTAAAAATGGTTGGTTTCGGATATTTAGGAAAGTATTTATGGTATTTATTGGCAGAGAATTTTCTTTTCTTAGTGCTATATACATCTCCAGGAATGTTGTGTTTATATATGTATGTATTTCTGTATCTAAAATGTTGGTATATTAGTTATTACTTAAGATGTATGCTCTTCACTCAGAAGCATTACAGTGTGAGTACTTAGAGCTTTACCATTATTGCAATCTTCTGAAAGTGTCATCCATTTTCTCGCTTGACTGTAGCATTCTGGGACCCCTAAGATTGTTGGTAGCATATAAGAGCAATAGAAAGCATGGAGTTTGCTCCATATCCATGCATATGGATAAGGGGTGGGTTCTGCTTACCTTTACTACCGGTTTGCAATGGGGCCCCATGCATGCGCTCTTCTGCGGATGCGCAGAAGCATTCTGATGAAGTTGGGGTCGGTGGGCGGAACCTCCCACCAGTTTTACTACTGGTTCTATAGAACCGGTCCGAACTGGGGGAAACCCACCACTGATATGGATATATATGCATACATACATACATGCATACTCATAGACCTATTTTTGTAAATTGTGAAAACTGTCTTCATTTCTGTATTGCAAATAATTCCACTGTAACTATGCTGTATTAATCCAACATCACAAATAGAGGCAGATATTGCAAAAGATCAATGTGGAGATATAATTGCTCTTTTCCTTCTGTTTTAGGCCACTTTAAGATTTGAATGGGTCATTGATCATAATAAAGAACATATTGTATGCATTTATGCAGGGTTTAATGGGCCTTTAGTTTCCTTCAGTGGTGCTCTTTTGTCTTACATGTTCTAAATTCGCACCTTGATGTGATGCCACTTATTCTAAGGTTTGGGGAATAGAGGTTCCTATTTCACATATAATAATACTGGCAAAGTGGTTCCTCTTCAAAAATAGAGATTTTCAATAAGTAATCTATCTATCTGTATATGTCAGTTATTTCAGCAAACAACTCTACATTTATTTGTTTTATTGCCTGCACGTTAACATCCATATCCATTTGAAAACTACAGGGAACATCAAAGCATTTTGTTCAAATGTCCCTAAAAAGAAAACAAAGAGCAATACAGAAAATAATAAAATATATGCCTGTGCTTAAATGACAGTTGCTTGGTTTTTACCTTTACTCTGACACATGATATTTTTAGCAGTCATGCCCTAATTCACACAATGCAGAATCTCGAAAGTTTGAAGAAGTCTCCTCATTTGTTCTCTTCCACCCAGTTTCTCAATTCTGCTCCCTGATTTTAGAAACTGTAATTGCATTCGTCCAACAATTTAAGAATATAAGCCACCAAATCATAAGCTGTCACGTTCGCAGTACTGTGATGAAAAAATCCCTATGTTCTTTTAAATATAAAAATGTGAACTGGCCATGTTACTCTCTGAGCTCTGGACACTTAGAGAAAGGCCCCTTATAAGCTAGAGAATATTACGTAACATGGGATTCAATCAGTGTTATGTTTGAGTGAGCTGGTAAGAAAATCTAAAATTTCTCAAACTTAAAATGTTTTGTTGGGCTCTTTTGGGATGCTTATGTAAATAGTTGGCTTTGAAAACCTTCATCCTGATTGAAAATGAACTGCTGCAAATTAGCCATCTTTCTGCCAGAAATTTTTGTAATGGTTGAACTTGACCCCAGTTTAGAAATTGAGACTCTGAGCCAATGGTTGTCACAACGTGATCCCCTATATATGAATAATGTGTATTAATTAACAAATTGATTCAATTTGTAATGAACGAAATAAGTATATTTGCTTTTAAGTTTTTGTTATTGATCTTTCTTAATAGGTAAAAATAAAGTGCAGGCTTATTTTACTAAATAAATAAGGTATTGTCTTCTACCTTTTTTTCCCCCTTTGTTTTACTGTATCGATTATTTGTCTGTAAGAAAACATATTTTATGAGATATATAGTCTCATTGCTGCCCAAAATTCTAAATTTTAGAAAATGATTATCCTAAAAGAAATGGTTAAATCTAAATAAACATAAGACATAACGTACTGTTTAATGCTGAATTTTCAATGAGTAATCTAATCATCAATAAAAACATGAAAATATGGCAAATTACACAAGCAGATTTCCAAAAACAATCTTAGACACCACAAAATAATGATAAGCAGCATACCAATAGTTTGCCTTTAAAAAATAGCCAATAGAATAGAATAGAATAGAATAGAATAGAATAGAATAGAATAGAATAACAAAGTTGGAAGTGACCTTGGAGGTGTTCTAGTCCAACCCCCTGCTTAGGCAGGAAACCCTGCACCACTTCAGACAAATGGTTATCCAATATTCTTAAAAACTTCCAGTGTTGGAGCATTCACAACTTCTGGAGGCAAGTTATTCCACTGATTAGTTGTTCTAACTGTCGGGAAATTTCTCCTTAGTTCTAAGTTGCTTCTCTCCTTGATTAGTTTCCACCCATTGCTTCTTGTTCTACCCTCAGGTGCTTTGGAGAATAGTTTAACTACCTCTTCTTTGTGGCAACCCCTGAGATATTGGAACACTGCTATCATGTCTCCCCTAGTCCTTCTTTTCATTAAACTAGATACACCCAGTTCCTGCACCCGTTCTTCATATATTTTAGCCTCCAGTCCCCTAATCATCCTTGTTGCTCTTCTCTACACTCTTCTCTACACTCTTTCTAGCATCTCAACAACTTTTTTACATCAAGGCGACCAAAACTGAATGCAGTATTCCAAGTCTGGCCTTACCAGAGCAATCTTTGAAATTAGATCTTGTGTTCATATTTTGTAGCATGGCAACCGTGAACATTCTTTCTTTAATTGCCTTTGTATATTTTAACCATAAAATATTCTCCTAAACGTATGTTAAAATCAAATTTCTTTCCAATATGAGTCATAAAATCTACAGGAACTACTTGAGTTTAACTGAACTAATTGAAATCCAGGTTCTTTTCAATTTTGTGTTGATCTAATTTTATGATTGAAACATGGCAGGGCAAATCATTCATATTAATATTCCCTATTTCTGACCTCTGTGGCTTCTTTTACTTTTTGGTTCATAATTTTGTTTAATCTTGCTTTTGACTGCATTGTAAACCACATGAGGCACCTTTGTTTAGAATTTTAGACATAAAGTACAGAATGTATTGTCAATAAAAACAAACTTCCCTAAAGAGAGTGACTAAATTATTTTTACTCCAACAGTGGTGGAAAAGGAGATAGGCATAGAAAAGAATAGGTTGTATCTATTTAAATGTGATTTGAACAAATGTGTGTACTTGTTCAAATTGGGCATAATTTAACTCTAGAAAGAGTCAGACTGTGTCCAACCACAGCGACAACCTGGCAAGAGGCTGGATGTTCAGCTGTGCTAGTAATTTAGAAAATTATTGCCTGCCTGTCTAGAGAGAGGTAGATTAACAGTTTTGGAGTTTGCTAACATTTCCCTTCTACTCCAAGAAAAGAGTCTCCTGTTTATTTGAAAAACAATAGCTTTGTACAAACAACAATAGCCATGTACTCTCCCCTATGAAGGTTCAATTCCTAGTGTTTCCAGTTATAAAGAATCACCCTTCCTCTCAGATAAGTATAAACCATGTCCTCCAATATTTCAGTAAAAAGAAGTCTTCTTCCTATATCTCATCTTTTATCAATAATCAATTGATAAAAACTCATCCTTTAGTTATAATCAGCCAGTCTATTAAGAGCTAACGTAATATATTTTAATATATTTTAATCTGAATCTAATCCATTTTATATTCCAGTTTATCACTTTCTCTAAAAAACGAAGCAACAAATCTATCCCCACTTATAAATTGAACTTTAAAGCCTTGTCATTCAATCCTGGTTTTAAAAAAAACACCCCAATAATAGCTATCAGAAACCGGAACATATACCTAACCTTGACCATATAAGTCCTTTAAATTCCTTTTGTTTACTTTTCTTGATTTTTAATCCCATGAAATATTGTTCTACAGGTTGATTTAATGATAAGCAGCTTCCTTATAAGTAGTTAAAAGAGGAAGTGGGTAAACACAGTGTCCAATTTGGAGACACCAAAACATGGTTTAGGCAAAATTGCTCCCAGTTCGTCCCAGATCAGGCAAACTGATAGCAGCGGTGGTGGGAGGTTCCACCCACCCGCCTGGATACTTCTGCGCATGTGCAAAAGTGTTGCACATGTGCAAGGTCGTGCGCATCCACGAGCGAACCAGTAGCGACAAGTTTTGAAACCCGTCCCTGGAACAAACGTATGGATGACCCTTGCTGTTTCCATTCTTCTAAGCACATTCCTAATTCAATTAAAAACCTTTCTATTTTCTTTTTGGGGTTATATGACTTTCTCAGTTATCCAACATGCATCAGCAGTAATGTATTTTGCTCTTTGGCCTTTTCTAAAATTAGCATAAACATCTGGCATCCCCTTTTCAATGCAGGGCTCTAATCTGTATTGGATGACCCTATAAATTATTTTGCTAGCTAATTTGTAAAATTATATTGTGCACTCTATTAAATCTTCTTTCTTTG